TATATATATATATATATATATATATATATATATATATATATATATATATATATATATATATATATATATATATATATATATATATACAGTCGACCCTCGTTAATTCGGACCCCTTTAATCCGGATTTCGGATAAATCGGACGAAATCTGAACTGTCCATATCAAATTTCTGGTTCTGGGATTGTCCCACTGTACAGTATCCTTTTCATCACTTTGTAATAAACCTCGTTATGCCTATGTGTTTCTGATAATTACCATAACATTATATATTTATATATTTAGCGGTTGTACAAACACAAGGCCTCACACATGCCATTCAGACTGACAGACTTGACAAGTTTTACCAACCATAAAGACAGTTGAAGCTTTAAACATCACTCACAATGGATCTTGAATATTCCAACTGTAATCAGACATACCTAAGTTGCCTCAACAATTGCAACCCCAGTTGCAATATCAAATTCTGTGTCACTACTAAGATATACAGTCTCTGGTGCACTCTAAGATTAAGAGAAAACGGACGACTCAGGAGTGCTGAAGTGAGAGAAAACGGACTCCTATGACGGGGCACTCAAATAACATACACATAGCTGTATAATGCAATATTAACCCCTAAATCGGTTAATTCGGACAATCGGCTAAAACGGACACCCTTCCCCTCTATTAGTCCGTTTTAACGAGGGTCGACTGTATGTGATATATATATATATATATATATATATATATATATATATATATATACACACACAGACAGACCCCGACTTACGCTACCGTCGGGACTTACGACCGAGATTTTTTATTAAATTTTTTTTTAAATGACACACATTTTCTATACCGAAACGTTTCCAGTTAATGTAGTCTCCATGTATAATTAGAAAATTATGGGGGCCCCATGTGCATTCAGCTGACTACATTAAAGGTAAGTGCTCAGTCACACTGTAACCATTCCTTATTATTTATTACTTTCACTGTACTGTATCCATTCCTCATTTCATTACTTTTACTGTACTGTATTTCATTGTAGATTATTTATTTATTTGAAAAAAAAAAAAAATAAAATAAAATAAAAATTTTTTTTATCAATGTCGGACTTACGACCTGGATTTGGGTCCCTAACCCCGTCGTAAGTCGGGGTCTATCTGTATATATATATACAGTATAGTGATTTGGGGGGGTTTAGGGGAATCTTAGGAGTGTTTCTGACTTTATGCATTTTTGGCTTTACTTTGTATATACTTTTCTGTGAGCTGGAACCAATTACCCAATATCCCATTGAAACAATGGTTTCGGTTAACGAACGACCCTCTGGTACGAAGTGAGTTCGTTAACCGAGGGACCACTGTACTTCACTAGACCTTCGGTGCCAACTGTCAAACATGTCACTGTCACCTCCCCTTCATCCCTCCCCCCCCTCCCAGCCAGGGTTTGGTGGTTATACAGTAGGCTTTAAGTTTTTATCTTATATAATATCACAGACTAAAGTTAGGAGAATATAATTTGCATTGCTGGAATCATTGCAAAACAGCAAATGATTTGAATATAAACGTCATATATTTTGCACAAAAGATAAAATTTTAGCCATTTGTAATTGGAACTAAAATTTGTATGTTTAATGCGAACTATAGCACGTTTATATTCAAACTAATCACTAACTTATAATAATTCCAGCAATGTTAATTATATTCTCCCAGGTCAGTTTTGTGACATTTCATAAGAGAAAAACTTAGTTACTCTTAAGGACAGATAAATAAATAAGCACTAGACCTTGGCATGAACTGTCAAACATATCACCTCCCCCCCCCATCTTCACATCAGCTGATCGCTAGTAAACAGACCATTTCACGGCCCATAGTAATTTTAGCTGTGTTGATTTATGAGTGTTTGTTTTAACATAATACACTGTACTACAAAAAACAATGTTTTGTTTATTCTAGAAGATGGGCTGAGGTGCATCTGGGTATTTTGTGTTTCTCTCAAGTACCAAACTAAATCATTCCATTGAAACAACACTTCCATTTAGTGCGAATTCGGTTTAAAGCGACCTCTCTTGGAATGTATATCGCGTTATATCGACGTTCTACTGTACTCCCTTAATGTGTTTGCCCTTAGGACCCCCACCGCACACACACAAAAAAAAGCAACAACAACATACAAATTACTAATAATGGGAAAATTCTCTCACAAATAATCAGAAACCAGACAACAAAATTTATCAAAATGTGAGTCTCAAGTCAACTCCATGCTTTGTTATTAAAGCCGAGTTGGTTGGGTTGCCATATGGCAATTTTTTCCTCGTAAAAATTACTGTCTCTAGAACGAATGGCATCTGAGCGCCAGCTGGGTTGATATATAGATCAAACTTACAAAATTTCTTTTGTAGCCATCTAGCCAACCCAACATGAAGGATGTTGATAATTGTGGTGTAATACTGTACTTTTTTCACTATGTATGTAGGATGGTGTGTGCATGTAGCCGAGTAAAAATAAATGAAGAAAGTTATGTATATACAGGTACTCCTCGACTTACGACCTACTCGACTTACGACAACCCGGACATACGACCGCCGTATAGTCGAATAAAATATTTTTCAGATTACGTATTTTCTAGTACCGAAACGTTTCCGTCCCGTACGACAGCGTGGGCTGGGCCGCCTCGTGGTGTACAGCATCCACGCCGTAGCCCGCTCAGTTGGTGTTTGGCCGTCGTTGTTGTTAGTGATCGCGCTGTGTACTGACAAAATTTTCGTTACTAATTCCCTTTAAAATGGCTGGCAAGCGTAAAAGTGAGAGTTCTCGTGGTGCTGATAAGAAAGGGAGACAGTCAATTACTTTTGAGATGAAAATGAAAATAATAATGCAATATGAAAATGGAAAAACGGTAGCAACCATTTCACACAACCTTGGCTTCTCTCACTCGACGATATCAACAATTTTGAAGGACTAGGCAGAGGCATTTGCTACTTTTAATAAGGGGATGCAAATGTTTGAAGAAATGGATCAAAATGTTGAGCGTTTTGCAAAAGTTGACAGACTGATCCAAGATGCACTTGCTTGCTACATTGAGATTTACAATGAAAAGAAAAGGCAAACTGTGCAGTCTAAATTGGACATGTATTTTAAGAAGTCCCCCACTGCTGTCTCCTCATACCCCACCACTGCTGCCTCTTCACTCCCTAAAGATGATTCAATACCTTCAACAAGCATAGCCTGTCTGAAGAAAGCGAAATTGATGACCCACCCAGCCATGTCTCCTCCTCTGCTTCATCCAATTAATGTAGTCTCCATGTTTAATTAAAAATTATTGGGGCCCCGTGTGCATTCAGCTGACTACATTAAAGGTAAGTGCTCAGTAACAACTTTATTCAATTTTCATTATTGATTACTTTTACTGTGCCGTATTTCATTTTAGAAATTCTATGTATTATTTTCGCATTTTCGACTTACAACCTGGTCATCGGTCCAGAACCCCATCGTACGTTGAGAAGTTGACTGCATACCCAAAAATACGAGTTGAAAAAAACCCATAACACCTCACCGCTTGACCCAGTAGCCTGATGAGCTAACCAAGCTACAATGCCATGATTAATCACAACTAAACACTCTTCTATCAGTAAACACTAATAATAACGGTAAATCCAGTTAAATATGGCAGGGAGTGAGGAGAGTTACAACTGCAGACAACACACTAACTAGCAGTCACTCACTCCAGGGGCCAGTATGGGAGAAATACATGACCTTCTCTTCACTTGTTTGTGCACCTTCCTGTGGCTTGATGAAGGTGGTTGAGGGAGCCATCACAAGGAGCACAGTAGCACACAGGTGAAACAGATAAGTGTTCAACCCAGACTGTCACTGAGGCAGAGTGAGTGGCCCAGCCACCTGGTACAAGGGAGACACCTTGCAGGACGCCATAAAACTTACGGGCTCCCCGTCCCGGCCGTGAAAATGCTGCCAACTTAAAAACTACCTGCAGACATTCTTGGGTACATCCAGGGTGTCATCCGTGAATAATCGAAGACCGTGAATTAAAAATCCGCAAATTGTAAGGGCATGCTGTGAATTAAATCAATCCTATTTAGAGGTACATTACAATACATTATTCCTATTTAATCATACATCACAACATTCTAATCAGTGGTACAGTCATGGGCAAAAGTTGCTTTGCATTTCTGTTTGAAATTGTACCAAACTGTAGTACCATCAATGGATAATCCTGCAGAATGGACATTCATTACAGCAGTTCAGAGTCTCAGGCATGCAAAGGGGACTTTTGTTCATGAATGTTCAGCTGCAGCCAAAGTTCCCACAACTCCTGGCAATATCTGGCATCTACTGTACTTGTAGGTGACTAGTTTACAGCTAGTGAATACTGTACTGCTTCTAGTTATAATTTATAAATCATGTAGGAATAACATAAAATAAAACCACCCTAATATACAAATAAAAATCTAAGTCGACATCAAAATCCCAATCCTCTTACCTACATGACCCTCAAGTAGATGTCAGATAATTACCAGACATCAATATTGTAGACATCTGTCACCAGAAGGAATAACCACTGATGGACTTGACACTATCATAAGTAGTAATGATATAACTTGTGTCAATATCATCAGTATTCATGGGAGTGTGCAATAGGCTGGGAATGATCTTGAGGCTTTGGACAGATCATAAAGTGTTTTAAGAAGGACATAATAAGGACAGCTCAAAAAGATAATAAGGTCCCATTTTCCAAAGTACATAAGGAGCTACAACTCTGTTAAAAATAGTCAAATACCTTGACTATATGGACACCTCTGACTGCTGGTGATCATGTCTTCCAAAGATTTGTGGGAATAGGCTTTTTTTAGTTTCTGAGGTGATGAAGACAAGAAAAACTCATCAAACATACAGACAACATCATCAACATAACAAGTTCCAGCAGACAAGTGCATAAAGAATGGCAGGAAACACTACTGAGTATTATTTCACACCATGATGGAGAAGTGTTTGTTATTTTTACCTTGGAAAATGATTGACTTTCTGCCAGTCATGGAGTTGTCGAATCTCATTAGGGTTGAAGTGAGCATTTCCCCAGTACATGTTGAAGAAGGAACTACTGCTCTCCACTTCAGTAAAGCCGTGTGCCTCCATCAGCATACGAATCAGCTTGGAATCCGACTACAATAGCAGAGGGTGAGTTAGTTCATCAAAAAATATTTTCTCACCAGAAAAGTCTAAAATCAGATTTCTTATATTGTCAAGTGCAACCTACAAAAACAATCATAATCTCGACAAAAAGAGGCTGACCTACCTGCTGTAGAGTGCAGGCAATGGTGGACATGATAGAGAAAAGAAGAAATAAAATTTCAGCAGTACTGTACATGCAGTCTCAAATAACTATAGAATGTTAGAAAAACTTCATTGTGCCCAAAGCTGCAAACATCCACATATGCTGGGAACATGCAGCAGATTTCAGTAAAAAAATCCTAAATCAAACATTTTGTCTTTAAAAAAACAACAAAAAACGATTGATACAAATTCTCAGATCACTCAGACCAATAGTTGAAAACCAAGTCCTAAGACAAGTCATTGTGACATTATCACTACAAATAACTGGTGTGTAAGGAAGTGTCTTAACAGTGGGAACTGCTCACATGACCTAAGAAAAAACGTAGAATATATTAATAAATAAAATAATTAATCCCTGTAACTCAGTAAAATGGATATTTTCTTCATGAGTTTACATCTCATAAGATCATCAAAGCCATGTTTGAGGAAGTTAATTGACCAACACATGTTGTTCCTCCACTGAACCTCCCTTAACAAGCACAAGCAAAACTTATTTTTTAAAGCTAATAGTGAAAAGCCAAAAAAAATAACCCGAGACACTGTAAAGAATTCAATCACAAAATAAACCACCAGTCTCTACAACGTGCAGAAATTTACCTGGGAAAACTTGAATGTCATGTTATATTTGTTCGCTGCGGGGTTTTCGGGGTGATCATCCAGGTTGCCACAGTTGAACAGAAGATAACCATTCCTCTTATTGCTGCTGCCCACCCACATCACATCACCATCTAGAGTTATCACATCTTCACTGAAAAGTTGAGATACGCATTAAAAAATTATTTCCAGTGGGTACAGTACTAATCAACATACAGTCTCTTAACTAAAGTACTGTAAGCTATTCACTATCACTTGCAAAGCTCAACACAACTCATTTTATTCTTCTCTAAACGTTCAGTCCACTTTCAGAAGAGTCTACTGTCTTACTAAAATTATCTCCCATTTAATCTATATTTTATTTTTTTCTAATCTCGCCTCTTGGCAAATCCACCACAGGTGATCATACTCCCACAAAAGCACAAGACACCTGCTTTATGATTCCCATATCCATTACCAGTTCTACAGGCTACTACTATTACTACAGGTACTATTACTACTAATTTTAATAATACTTTGATGTACTTCCTTATTATGCTCCTGTCTATCAATTTCCACACAGTTTCAATAAATATTAGTTAATATATTCATTTTTTTTATTACTCATCTGAACAAAAATACAGTACTGTACATAACTTACAGGGCTTCCAAAACTGACCACCAACTCGTTGCTTCATCTGTTTAATCCTGTCAATATATTCAGCTGCTTTGCCAAATCTTATCACTTAGCTCTAATAACATTCTGGTGAAGTAACTCTTGAGATGGAACATTTTGAAAGCCATGTACTGTACAGTATTTATATTCTTTTTTTTATAATACTTACTGTCTATGTTTTCCACTTGAATATTTGTTCGTTCTGTTCTCTCTCTTGAGTGATCTTCCCCTTTCCTTCTTATCCTGACCTTTGGACTCGCTTCTTCCCTTGTCTCTTATCTTCTCATTTTCTTTGTCTTCTCTTCCTGACACCTCTCCATTTGTCTGATTTCTATGTGGACTCCTTGAGGCAGCACGTTTCATTCTCTCAGCCCAATCCATACTAAAGCGACTGCTACCTTTACTTGTGTTCTTCTCATCATTATGTAGAGAGAGTTTTTGTTCTAAAACATTATCTCTTTTAGGGTGATCACTTTTGGAGGTTTGGGATATTGTCGGAGGAGTCATCTTTTGCCGACCCAGTAGCTTTGGACGTTCCCCAGAGAAGCTCCTGCTATGAGGCGGGCCAGAGGTTCTGGTCTTTGGTTTCTTCTCTCTGCTTTGGATATCTCTACTTTCACAGTCTCGTCTCTTTCTCTCCGTACTGGAACTGTTAGGACTTGCACTTTCCCGACGAGAGTTTTCAGCTCTTCTTCTGTCTAGTGAAAGACTCCTATTAATATCACTTCTTTGGGGACGGTCACTGGTTTTACTTCTCACTGACCCTGATCGTTTACGGTCCAGTGAAGAAGTCCATTTTGAAGGCTCTACTCCCCTCCCAGATGGCCGGTCTAGAGCAGAACTGCTGCCTCCTCCACTGCTCCCTCTGCTGGTGCTAGAGCTACTACTGCTGCTGCTACTACTGCTGATACTACTGCTCCCACTAAGTCTACTACTACTTCGGCCATACGGAGGAGCTCGAGGAACTTCAGGTGGTTTACCACATACTTTATTCCCTCGTAGCCTGTTGTCAGTGTCATCAGAGAACTGGACTTTCTGATCCCCTTTCCGTGCACTCTTCACAGGAGAGTTGGATTGAGAGGGAACTTTGGGTAACTTCTCCATTGTGGATGATATAATAATAATAATCTAAAGAGGATAGCATAACATCTAAATAAAATTACAAAAATAATATATCTCTAAAATGGACATACAGAAAGCAATTTGACTAGATAGTGTAAACTATGCTTTACAAACCATAAATGAACCACACACACATCAAGGAATGATAAACTTCAAGAAATAAGACAAACAGAAGGACCTCAACAAAACAACATCTAATCACAGAAACACCAAACATCCACTATAAGCGAGGCCTCTTCCTCGTTGCTTGGTCCAGGATTCAGAGGTGGCAGTGGCCAGGAATGACTTGGTGTGAGGACAATTCCAGTGGGATATCAGGGTAGGTGCGACGGGTTGTGTTTGGAGGGTTGGGGGTTGACTAGGTGGGGTGTTCCTTCTGGGAGTTCATCGTCCTTGGCACATTTGAGGCTCCAAGGCGATGAAGGGTCAGCTAGGTGAGTCTGGTTTTCTCATCTATTATTTATGAAGGGCAATCCTAAGGCGTGACCCTGTCAATAAGAGACAAAATTAAAAAGTGCTCACACAGCAACACTATGACACAGCTCAGAGCTCTTAAAAAAGTAAGAAGTAGAAGGTTCCATCATGAAAGTAAGATGCAACAATAAAGGGCCTTGCTAATAAAATTTTGAAAATTTTGAACAAAAAGCTTTTTAAACAGAGAGACATTAGGAGGTTGTAAAACCACACAGCTTACTCCTAAGTGCAGTAATCCTTCAGTCGTCTAAACCATACATCAACTGCAGGACCCGTGAGTAAAAATTTACACAGCAATACTACCCATCATGAGCATATTTTAAGACCCTTGCTCCCTGTTAATAAAGGTGACCTGATGAACAGCACATATAAGAAGACATAGGGTTTAGATCTAACTGAGTTTACCATTGTCAGATGTGGGGGAAAATTTATTTGTAGTGCAACAAGTTACTGAAAATAAAATACCTGTATTGTATAAATATAAATTTACTGTGTAATTATGTGAAATGAAATTACAAATACAGTAACAATAGTTTTATTCAGGGTATTTAAACTGATCATTAACACTACTGTACCAGGTGAGTTTATTCAATAAAAATTTAGAGGAAATTAATTAGAAGGTCCCATACATGCATCTACTCTCAGATTATTGTCACTTCACTTCAGGCAACAACATACCATAATACATATTACCGCAAAGTGTTAGTCAACACACAATAAGGTGTTAGCTTTTTAGTTTAATATATATGTGGAAGGTTATCTTTCTCTGGTGACACTTCAAGGGCAGTCACAGTCCACCAAATGTGGTGTCACTAGTTTATTCTAGTGGGAAGTAATGGAATTAAACACACTAATATATTCAAATTAACAAAAAAAAGGAAAATCAATACCGTACAGTACATTCATATCATTGGGAATTGTAAATAATGATAGAAAATAGAAATATGGTACAGGTTGGGTAACCCTTATCCGAAATGCTTGGGACTGAGAGGGTATCGGATTTGGATTATTTTTAAAATTTTGGAAGACAGTACAGTACCTATATCCTGTATAATGTGGCAACTCACCCAGCAGGGATGGCGCCAAAGTCTAGGCACAAAATTCATTTATATTTCATTTACAGCATATGGATACATATATTCTGCAGGTAGTTTAATGAAATATAATTTAATAATTTTGGGTATGAAATACACAGAAGAATCAGAAAGGTAAGCAATCATTACCGTCTGTTCAGCATTACCATGATGCCTGACTCTGAGGTGCTAAGCTGCCTGTCTCTTACCTTTATTCATTACACATACAAGTACAGTATATACTTATCCTTGTAAAAATTATGTTCTATGCCATATTCAGTGTACAGTATTATCTACCATAAATATAATGAAATAGACTTTCGAATTTCAGAGCATTTTGGATAAGAGATACCCAACCTATAATAGCTACTATACAGAGTTGCCACCATAAGGTTTATTTTCCTCTGGATTTCCCATGAAATGTTTGATTTGAAGCATGGGATATAAACACAGTGCTGATGATAGGACACAGTGCTGATGATAGGAAAAATAACTGAATTTACTAAGAAATAGTAAGTTGGCTACAGCCTCTGTACCCCAAGAGAAATTAATAAAACAATCACTGAACACTTTCTGAATTTAACAGAAATAAGCTAGTAAGCATTATACATGCACACAAGTTTAACAGTGCTCAGTGGGTTATTCCTGTTAAAATCAGATACTGTACTGTAGAGCTCAGTGACATTTTTCTAACTTTACCACAATACAGTTCTAATAGGCCATGGTCTGCTACTTCTCATTACTGGAGTATCTCCAGACTCAAATTTTCTTTGCTCTAGCACCATATTTACATTACCTGCTTCAAAACTAATATGTTAGTGAAAATCCCAAGGAAAACAAGTCATCATTAAGGTAATGACCCTAAATTATCAAACTTCAAAAGTCTCTACTGCAAACATACAGGGTGTCTCACATATACTGTAAATATCATAGTTAAAGACCCATACTGTACTCCATAACAATAATAGTTACTATATATAAAATAAAATATGGAGCCACATACAATAAATAAATTTAAATAAGTATTCAGTAATGTACAGTATTTAATTTTTAATTAATTGCTTAAGTTAACATATTTCATTGATGTTCATATTTTTAAATACTGTAATCTGGTAGGTTTTCAGATGACAAACATAGAATGACTATCACGCTGGTTCTTTAAGCATAGTGAGAGCTCAGTACATGTCCCACACACCACCTAACATTACCTCAAGCTCAGCAGCCACTCACCACCACACTATCTTGTTCTCATCTCCTCAATTATTTCTTCCTTTTCTTATTTCTCCTTTCTTTCACTTCATTTATGGCCCATTCATTCAGGAGTTCAGTGGTACTCCTTCCCTGTTACAAATAAATAATCAAAACAACCTACACCTTCACCAAAGTTCTATCTCCCACTCAGTGTTCCCTTCACCACCTCACTTCATTGGAAAACAAGGCAAAGATGCTCTCTTAGTTTCTGGGTGCACTCACTAAGGATAACATATAAAACCTACCCAATGTTGACTGGAAAGTTATTGTAAGATCATTAAGTCAGGTTAGGTTCTGGGTGGTTCATGGACACACCCAGTCACTACATACTAGCCACAAATATTACCATGACCAGTTCTTGCCTCATCCCCAAATAGGGTATTGTACCTTCACCATGCATAAGGAGGTTGTCCTACTTCTTTTAAAGGGCAATCTTGTCTATAGGGCCCGCTTTAGCATATTCAAAACATGAAGAATGACACTGTTTCTCTTAAAACATAGTGTATGGTACATGTACTTCCTAATGTCAGTCATCCTAGTTCTGTTCATCAGTATGGAGCCTTTACTTTCTTCTCAGTTCACTTAAAAATACTGCACAGTACATGCATTACTCTAATATTAAAACTTCACACCAATGAACATCATTTAGAAAGTCTGATGACTGGACATCCCAATTTATTTTACCTATAATGCTAGCCTACCTTAATCTAATTTAACCCATCCCTCCCAAGGTTGTACACTAGGGTGGTTAATCTTGAAGTGAAATAATTTGGGGTGTATAATTTTCAAATGATGCCATCTTTTATTTAGTTAGTCATATAACACAATCAACATTTTCACTCTTGAGCTCACCAGCCTTAACTTTCCTCATTATTTATTACTTGTTACCACTACTGTACTGTACATTAACATTGAAACACCTCTACCAGGACCTAGAGTGCCCCTCTTGCTTACTACTGAACCCTGGTGTAAGTGCCACCTGTACTGCTACCAATATGAATGCACCTACAGTACATCCTTGACCACTGGAGGGTCAAGACCTATCAGGCGCTGCTCCTGCTGCCCCGGTCAATGTTGGTCCACTCCTCAAGCCCCTCTCCCCGACCTTTCCTCACCACCGGGATATCAACATAATCCCGCCAAAAGTGACAATTTCATTTTGGAAAGAAGTGGGATCAATGTTTATCAGTTATGAACAGCATTTAAGCCAGTGAATTCAACACTAGACAGTACCAGTGAGAGCTATGACCCACCAGTGAGGTCCACACCCAAAGATAAGCACCCCTGGGAACCAACCACCATCTTCTGACCAGGTGGTGTTAATCAGTCCACCCTGGGAACAACAGTGGGTCGGCTTTATACCTGAGCAGAAGATAACACAACACCACTTAACAGAGAGTGAGGTACTGTGACACCACCCCACACTACACCACATGGTGTCTCCATGGCCATATGTCAACACCTATGGACGAGTTACTACACCATGTGAACACCACACCGCCCAGTGTCTCCATGACCATGTGAGGTCCTTCATATCAACATCTATGGACGAGTTACTACACCATGTGAACATCACACCACCCAGTGTCTCCATGACCACGTGAGGTCCTTCATGTCAACATCTATGGATGAGTTACTACACCACGTGGCCTACGTGACCTCACACAGTATGGCAAGAGACCAGCCCTGGCCATCAACTGTAAACTATAATTTGAATGTTCAATTCATGTTCCTTCTCCTTCTAGTAATGAAAACTTTGTTAAACGACCCACCCACCCCATGTCTTTGTATGTAAGAAGTAATTTTTTTCTAATGTATCTTTCCAGCCTTCAGACTGCTGAACTTTATCAATAACCCGTTAATTATTATCATTACAGTATGACTCTCTAAAACTTGATGTTAGTGCCTGAGATAAACCTATTCACTGATTTATTCTACCACACATAAAACTATATCTCCATTATTATTTTTTAATTATTTCTTTAACATCTTAGTTTCTTCCCCACCAATTTAAATACTTTTTCATCACAGTACCGATATTTAACCAACAGCTCTCTCTTTACCCAGTGAAGTTTCTTGGCTCACAGGAGATGTGAGTTTAGTGTTACTGTTTTAATCCTGTCCATCAGCATCCTGCCATGTAGCCTCACACACACACATACACAAAAATACTCTGCAGTTTATAAATACATATTTACTGCCTTCATCTTATACATAGAGTATTCCTATATCATATAATTTTCTCTCAAAACATTATAAATATCAATAACAACACCTTTTTAAAGAATGGGAGGAAGTTTTATATTTAATATGGCATCTGAAGGATATGACATTAATAATCTTCTAAATATTTTGTTATCAATGATCTCACACTAGTTCTGTCTTCATGAGAATTAGGGACTGGAGCAACTCAGATTAATGATTATTGTATAAGTTAGGGAAAGTTATAGGGTAGAGTTAGTTCAAAATAAGACTTACTGGTATAACACTCGATTATATCTAGTATTTCTATTCTAGCTATTTGCCATGAAGGCCAACATCCATATACGTACTGTATATAGTTGGTAAGACGCAGACTAACACTTACTGACAAACAACTCTTGCCCCGTCTCTAATACTGTCAAGACCCACTTTTTCCTTCACACCACATGTACCCAGTCTAAACTGATTTAAGTTTTCAGAGACAGCCTATTGGTCATTCAGAGGGTCAGCCAAATACCCATTCATAAATGTTTTCTTAAAGTCCTAAGTAAGATCACTGTTTTCTGAATAGTCTCTCTACCCATAGGCTCTGACACTCAAGTCCACAGTTGCGGATTGGTGTTGGTATGAACTACAATCCCTTAACACTGGAGTCAGTTGGACACAATATATTATTAAATAGCCACTTTGACATATACAGTACAGTAAAAACTTGCCATTCGCGGGTTTATGATTCGCGATTTTGACGATTCGCAGTAAGCAGCTGGCAGCTCGGCTGGCTTGCATGCGAGCCTTCTCCCTCAGCACAACGAGTCACCCCACGCGCCCGCAGCATCTCATCTCACTCTGTTTGCCCTCGCCCAGTACCCATGACCCACCATCTCGTGTCACACTCTCAAAACTTTTGTGTTTCTTTGTGAAAATGACCCCGAAAAGACTTGCCTAGTACCAGTTATGCTAGTGGAGTGAAATGGAAAAGGCAAAAGTCAGTGATGACCCTGGTAAAAAAAAAATGAGTTATTAGACAAGTTAAAAGAGGGGATGAGTGCTGCCGCGGTTGGCTGGTTGTTTGGTGTGAATGAATCCACAGTGCGGTACCTAAGAAAGAATGAAAAAGCTATTCGTGATTCTGTTCAAGCAAGTGCTAAAGTGGCGCAGGTTGTTCGTTACAAGAACATTGTAAAAACTGAGAAAGCAGGAACATTTGGATTGAGGACCAGTACCGCAAAAATGTTCCGATCGATGGCAATGTGATTTGTGAAGATAATGTTGGAATTAGTTAATTTTACTGCCACACCACCCCATTAAGTACTGTACTGCGGTGTCCCTCAGGACTCATTTAGTTTAAAACTCGGGTCAAAACACAACGACCCTCTTCAAGGGAAGATGTTGTTTAATAATACTGAACGGGCCTATAAGTCTTTATGCTCATTTTTACAAGTCAACGGGTGGTGAAGGGGCTAGTGCAGTGACTGAACCAACTTCTAGTGCCAGTAAAGGTTGGTTCAAGAATTTTAAGAAAAAATTCTTGCTCCATAATGATAAGCTGACTGGGGAGGCCGCATCAGCTAACCACACAGCCGCAGGTGTATTTCCCTCCAAGCCGAAGAACATAATAGAAGAGAAAGGCAACAGACCAGAGCAAGTGTTTAATGCTGATGAATCTGGTTTATATTAAAAGAAAATGCCTGGTAGAACATACATAAACAAGCAGGAGAGCCGTGCCTCTGGGTTCAAGGCAGCCAAAGACAGAGTGACGCTCATCTTCTGTGGCAATGTGGCTGGCCACATGATCAAGCCTGGCTTGTTTTACCGCTCAGCAAACCCTCGGGCTTTAAAGGGTAAAAACAAGAACCTTTTGCCAGTGTTTAGGCAAGCAAACAAAAAGCATGGGCAACTGTTACAGCTTTCCTGGATTGGTTCCATAAATGTTTCATCTCGGGAGTGGAAAAATACCTTGCTTCCAAGAAGATGGAATTTAAGGTGTTATTACAAGTATTGATAGACAATGCACCAGGCCACCCAGAAAGTTTACAGTTCAGCCATCCAGGTGTAGAGGTGGTGTTCCTACCCCCCAACACTACTGCTCTTATCCAGCCTCTCGATCAGGGTGTAATACTTACCTTCAAGGCACATTATACACTCCGCTCTTTTGGTCGTATCCGTAGTGCCGTGGATGAAGACCCTGACCTTGATGTTAACAAGTGTTGGAAGGAGTACAACATTGTAGATTGCATTACCAACGTCAGTGAATCATTCAGTGAACTTAAACCAGAGGCAGTGAATGCTTGTTGGTGCACCTTGTGGCCTGAGTGTGTGAATAACTTTCAGGGACTTCTGTCCACAGTAAAGGATGTGAATGACATTGTGAGTGTTGCACGTCAGTTGGGTGGTGAGGGGGCTGTGGACATGGCTGCTGAAGACATGGAAGAGCTGATTGATGGGCATGGAGAGGAACTGACAGAAGAGGATTTGGAAGAGTTGGTAACAATTGCCGAGGAAGACATTATGGAATTACAACAAGAAGGTTGGAGCTTGGAAAATTTTGGTGAACTATTTCTTCAGGTGAAGATGGTGAATGATTTCATTGTTGACCACGACCCTTCCATGGAATGCAGCCTAAAGATGGTACAAGGAACCAACCAGGTATTTTTAAAGAACTCAAAGCCAAGAGGAAAGAACTACCAATCACCAAGTTTTTTAAGAAAGAACCAGCTAGTACTACCGCTACTGCTCCACCCACCTCCTCCCAGTCACCCGCCTCTCGGCTGCACGCCACCCCACCACCCGCCCCTCCACCAACCACCACTGCATCACCCTCTTCCACCAGTGATCCTGATGATCCCCCAATGCTTCAGTAACCAGATGTCTCCCTATGTACAGTCCACCACTTCATCAAGCTCCAAACTTCCACATATGAAAGTACAGTGTTATGACTTAAGTTTCTCATACACAGTGTAGGTATACCTGTATATTAGTGCACTAAGGTATTATATAAGCTGCTATTCGTGGTTTTGCCAATTCACGCCATTCCTAGGAGCCTATCCCTCGCGAATGGCAAGGGTTTACTGTACTATAAACACCTGCAAAAACAGTAACTGGATCTGTTGAGAATGTGGATGGCTATGAGCATGGGTGTCTATGAGCATGTGGATGACCCATCTATTACAGAACTAATCTTGTTTTTATATGCATTAGGCAAACCTGGTGAGCAGTGTGGGGTAAATAATTCAGCTATCATAAATCATGTCTTAAATATCAGTACCTGTACAAGTGGTGTCAGTCTTGTTCACTGGTGCTGGCTAAAATTCTAAGGAGCTAAATTATTTCTGACAACTTGTAATAAAAACCAACCTAATCTAATTTAACCATCCTAGGTTACATGTAGTTATATTTTTTCCAATAAATAAATAATGAAAAACCTTAATGAATAATTCTCCTGCACTTGGAAGAAAGAAATGGTGAATTCACAGAGAAATAAATCATGTGGAAAACTGATGTGAAAAAGTCTGGGAAGATGCATAAAAATTTCTTGAGTGTCTGAGGCGGTGCTAGGGTGGGGAGGGTGTGTCTAAAGATATAGCCTTATGGGGAAGGACTAACCCAAATGAGAGGAAGCACACCATCCCATCTTTTAGGTGAACTCTTGGTTCAATAATGATTTATTTCTATACTGTATGTCAGAGCCAGATAGCAGTTCAGTACGGTACCAGTACTTGTCATATCACAAGTGATTTTCAAACTCACCTAAATTAAATATTGGTGATGGTTTTCTTATCAATATGTCACTGCAAGACACCTTTCTTCAATACAAATATGTCAAAATTTGCTAACGTCAACTTTACCTTAACATCTATCCACTTTATTGATGGAATAGTTTTTTGTATTGGTTTGGTGAAACATATTTTTCTTTCAAAACATAATGGAGAAATTTTCCCTCACAGAAACAGGTGTACACAGTGAACTTGACGAGGCAGTGGGTGGTGAAGCTCAACCCTTCACTAACCTTGTACTGCTCCACCAATCTGTCTTCCTCACCCAATCTTTCTAGTTTACGTCACATAGAACTCAACTTAATCTTCTTTTCCCCTTTCTATCGTTACTTTCTCTCACTTATGCTGTTATTTCACATTAAAGTCATGACATAAATTTCATCCAAAAAACACCTGGTCCAATACAATTTAATGGGCAAGGAGGAAGGTGACCCAGACATAATGTTTTACTTACCACTGGCTGCCGCGACTTACAACCAACCCCTACACCTTACTGACTCCAGGGTATCATCGCCCTCTGTCACGCCGCACTTAGTAATAAAGAACCAAGAGAGATGTAGAGAGAGGAGGTGAAGAAAAGTGAGACTCACCTGCCCGCCATGGGTCTGCTGCTGCATGTAAACAAACTGGCTGAAAATCTCCCCCGCAGTGTGACGTCATATCACGTGACATCTGCATGGCCGCCCGCCACCCTTGACGGGACATTTAAATTCCTTGACACACTGATGGTCGCTATACCCCATACGCTGTAGTCTGTACATTAATTATGGTAATTGATGAACGGTAAAGTCGTAATTATTTATAAGTTAGTAAATGCGTAATAATTTGTGGAAAGTGAAATGGGTTGATATTTAGTCAAACTTACAATTACGGTGATATAAAGATAAAATTCACTCCACAAGCTGTTCATTAATATCAATAATAAGTACAACAAACTGCAGTAATTACAAGAACGGCTCCAGGGTTACAGGATAGGAAGGAGAGGTGGGGCGCAGGTACCGGTGTTTTAGTGGGTCGCGTCGCCAGGCCAGTCAAGCGTTAATTCGATGCCTGGGGACTACTTTGGTCATCATTATCTAGAATCGTCTTTAATTAATTCGGGGTCTGGGTCACCTCTGTTACCACAAACCTGAGTGTATATAGAAATGGGCCAGGATCTGAGGTCAGAGATGCCTACACAGGACACCAAATAAAGTTGCTGTTCATTATTGTTTAACCTTAAGGCGAGAACACTATAGACAGGATTAATCACTCACACGTAAAAGAATTATTCCTGGTTTCGAAAAATGAGAGATGTAACATTTAAGAAACCCTAATTTATTGGGGCTGTGGCTTCCTTAAGTTCATTAACGATCATGGATTTTAAGAATGAGGGAAGTCCCACCAACGAATACTCCAAGCTTTTACTGTAAATTTATCGTTAAAAACAACTTATCATCTGGAATATTATTGCTAGAGTATAATTGTTTGAAATTTTCATCCCCAGAAAATCCGTTTACCCTCCTCGTCGGTACTGTTTAGTGTTGTAAAGGCAATAATGTATTACCCTGTAGGGTTACGTGATATTATGTTGTCTAGCACTCA